CCTCCGCGGACAAGCTCTCGGCACGCGCCGTCCCCTGTGTCTTCCTTGGTTTCCCAGTGGACTCTGCCGACTGGTCCTTTTACCACCCTCCCCTCCACCAGTTCCTCGACTTCCGTGACGTCCGGTTTGACGAGTCTGTGTCCTACTACACCCGGTACCCCTGTCGAGGTCTCCCGGTACCCCCTCCCCCTCTTTTCCTCGCACCCTCTCCTCCTCCTGCTCCCGCTCCTCCGGTACCCCCGCCCCCCCCTGGTCCTGCCCCGTCTGGTGTGTCCCACGTTACCCCTCTACCCTCGGTCGCACGTCAGGTAGCGTCTCCCTCCCCGCAGTCCTCCTCACAGTCCCCTCAGCAGCCTTCGGCACTTCCGCGACAGGTTACGGTGGACTCGGTTGGTGTTGGAGCTGGAGGTGCAGCCACTGGCGGTGCTCGGTCTGCGGGTACTCGGTCGCGGGGTGCTGGAGATGGAGGTGCTGGCGCAGGTGGCGCTAGCTCTGGGGGTGCTGGAGCTGGAGGTGCTGGCGCAGGTGGCGCTAGCTCTGGGGGTGCTGGAGCTGGAGGTGCCGGCACTGGTGGTGCTAGTTCTGGGGGTGCAGGAGCTGGAGGTGCTGGCACTGGCGGTGCTAGTTCTGGGGGTGCTGGAGTTGGAGGTCCGGGCACTGGAGGTGCTGGTTCTGGGGGTGCTGAGTCTGAGGAGTCTGACCCTGGTTCTGCGGAGTCCACTCCGCCTCCCCACCGCCACGACACACGACTCCAGGCTGCCCGCCGGCGTGAGCGTGAGGAGCAGGAGCGGTTGGAGAGGGAGCGGCAGGAGCTGCGGGTGCTGGACCTTCTGGAGCAGCAGCGGCAGCAGCAGCAGCAGCAGCAGCAGCAGCAGCAGCAGCCGCAGCAGCAGCCGCAGCCGCAGCCCCCGCCGCAGCAGCAGCAGCCGCAGCCGCCACCGCAGCTTCCTCTGGAGCGGCGGTTGTTCCCACCTGTGAGTGGCCTGCGGGCCCTTGGTTTTTCCTCCTCTCCTCCTGTCCGCTCCCAGTCTCCTCCTGTGTTTGTTCCTCCGTTGCCTCCTCCTGACGACCGTCCGGCGGTCTGGTCTTCTCCTCCTCCCCAGTCTCCTCCTCCTTCGGTCCGTCGCGACTTGGTCACTCGTTGTCCTCCGCGTGCTCGTCACTCGTCCCCTGTTACTGACCTCCACACTACCCTCCTTTGTACGTCTCGTCGTCGTTCTCCTTCTCCTGTGTCCGTTCTCCCGTCTCCTCCTCCGTCCTCTCTCCCAGCCCTCCCCACTCCTATCACTGACTACTACCGCACTGTTCGTCCTGTTGTCGCACGTGTCCTCGCCACTCTTGTCACCGACTCTCGTTTCCCTCCGTCGTCTGCCTCCGCTCTTACTGCCGCCGTCGCTGAGTTTGCTGCCGCCAGCCGCCTTGACTACGCCACCCGCGTGGTGCCAGCTCCTCCCTACCGTCCTCTGTCCGTCGGGGGTGGGTTTGCCCTTGGCTGTGACGTCCTAGAGGACAGAGAGTCTGAGCTGGAGTACTGGGCAGCCGCTTCTCCCTCTGTGTGTGCCATGCTGCTCTCCCCTGAGGGAGACCCCGACGCCCTTGACATACCGACTCCTCGCACTTGCCGCGAGGCAGTGTCAGGGGCGTGGGCCTCTCAGTGGAAAGCGGCTATGGACTCAGAGTTGGCGTCTTGGAGATCCACAGGCACCTATGTCGACGCAGTTCCCCCTCCCAGGGCGAACGTAGTCGATGGCATGTGGCTCTTCAAGGTGAAGCGGCCGCCTGGAGCACCGCCGGTGTTCAAGGCGCGCTACGTGGCTAGGGGCTTCAGTCAGCGTGAGGGAGTTGACTTCTTCCAGACCTTCGCCCCGACCCCGAAGATGACTACTCTTCGGGTGTTACTCCACATAGCAGCGCAGCGAGACTACGAGCTGCACTCCCTCGACTTCTCCACTGCGTTCCTCCAGGGGCGACTGCATGAGGAGATCTGGCTGCGCCGTCCTCCTGGCTTCACTGACACCTTCCCACCTGGGACCCAGTGGAGCCTGAGGCGACCAGTCTACGGTCTCCGCCAGTCGCCCCGTGAGTGGCACGACACTCTTCGCTCCACGCTTCGTGACCTTGGGTTCAGCCCGTCCTCCGCCGACCCGTCGCTGTTTGTTCGAGCGGGTTCTACTCCTTTCTTTATCCTTGTCTACGTCGACGACTTGGTGTTTGCTACAGTAGACAGGGCAGCCCTGGCTCAGGTGAAGTCCGAACTGCAGAAGAGACACAAGTGCACTGACCTGGGTGAGTTGCAGCGTTACCTTGGCTTGCAGATCACCCGGGACAGAGCCGCTCGCACCATCACACTGACGCAGTCACACATGGTGCAGCAGGTCCTTCGGCGGTTTGACTTCCAGTTCTCCACCACTCAGCCCACTCCTCTTGCTGTTGACCACAGACTCACGGGCCCCTTTCCTGACGAGCCCTTTGAGTCCAGTGGACCCTACGCAGAGCTGGTGGGCTGCCTCATGTACCTGATGACTTGTACTCGACCGGACCTCGCCTTTCCCCTCAGCATCCTTTCTCGTTTTGTTGCGACTGGGAGACACCGCCCTGTCCACTGGACAGCTGCTGTGAGGGTGGCGAAGTACCTGGCGACTACATCAGGCATGGGGCTTGTGCTTGGAGGGACTCGGCCAGTGACGTTGACTGGTCACTGTGACTCTTCCCACGCTGACGACGTGGAGACTCAGCGCTCGACTCAGGGTTACTGCTTCAGTCTGGGAGCTGGTGCTGTGTCGTGGAGGTCTACACGGTCGTCGTCTGTGGCTACTTCCAGTGCAGAGGCAGAGATCTACGCGGGTGCCATGGCGGCACAGGGGCTTCGCTGGTTGACCTTCTTGCTCGCCGACCTTGGTGAGCGGCCTCGCTCTGCACCGACCTTGTACGCTGACAACAAGGCCATGATCCTCCTGTGTCGAGAGCCTCGACTGAAGAGCAGAGTGAAGCATATTGACGTGAGGTACTTCCTCCTGCGAGAGCTGCAGCGACGCGGCCAGGCACGCCTGGACTTTGTGGCCTCAGAGGCCAACACTGCAGACGTCTTCACCAAGGCCTTGGCGCTTGGTGACCACCACAGGTTCTGTGTGCAGTTGGGGCTAGTTGAGGTAGGCCCTCGGTTGCTGTAGTCCTGTTGCTTGCTCTGCTTGTTGTGCCTTGTATTTATATCCTAGTGAACTCTTGAACTGGCCTTGTGGCCGCTTGCTTGCGCTCGGAATTTGTGTGGTGTCCTTGAGATCCACCCTGAGCTTGTCTTGGTTCTTGCTTTGACTGGTCTTGTGACCGTTTGTTCACCTTGCTTGCTTTGATGCCCCTCACTTAGCCTATGGGGGTGTGTCAAATGTTGAACATTGATATGATAGGCTGTAGTGAGTTGCACTCTAGGGGGTACAGTTTCTAGGGTTGCTTATTTGTACCCCATTCGTTTCTATTCCAACCATTCCGTTGCATTCCTATTCTGAGAGTGCGAGCCTTTGTTACGTTCAGGAATGTGCTGACTCAATTCCTTACCGTAACACATAACAAATAACAGTCATTACATCCCGCTATTCATAGTCTAACACCGGAGTATCGCAATCAGTTACGAAAAACGCTTGTGACACGAAGCTCTGAAGACGTGTCATCACAAATATGCCCTTCTCTAACGTTCACCCAACCCATTTTAAATTACCGTATATATACATTTTAATAGGACCCCCGGGTCTTATTGCCGGGAGATTGCGGCCTTTGTAAAAAAAATAGTTTATATAACAAACACATTTGACACGTTCATTGACAATGCTGGATTTATTGATGCATTGACGATTTCTTTATCTCTGCTCAAAGCGTACCAAGAGCAAGATTGACGAGGGCTTGACCTTTGCAGTGTACCATGAGTAGAGTCGGGAAGACATATCTCTTATCGAATATGGAGAAGAAGAATCCGAACCCTGTCGAAACTGATTCAACGGCCTCGCCGCATCAGCTGCTGCTGGCTTGGTGCTGGAAGGTTGCTAACTTGACGTGGCAATCACCGAGTAGTTCGGGGGGTTGCTTTGGCAAGACCCATAAATTCGGGGATTCGGTCGGGAGGAAGAGCTACCGGTTGGTTGGGTGCATCCCAGGCCTCTTGGCGACTTGGTGTAAATATCCAACATGGCATATCATAACCCCACCAGGTAGATTACTTCATCAAGTCTCAGCCAATCCGCTTCCCCCCACTTACCACGCGGTATGCCGAACCACCAGCGAGCAAATCGTTAATCGCCCCACCAAACACAAGCCAAGCGTCAGCCACTCTTGTGCAAGCCGAGGCTCCTGAGCTTGGTATGCCGGAATTCTTCGGGCAATTCATGCCAAGCCATGCCGCGCGGCTTGGTGCACTGAAACTGCCCTCCTTCGCATCTGGCCAAGACTCAACCACCTCCCCACCAGAATCCAGATGCATAAAAAACGCCTTGGATCCAACCATTCGGTGTGGAAGCATTCTGTTGCTCCAATGTCTAAATCCTCCTGAACCCCCCAGCCAGCTCCGTTGAGAAGTGCCCCTCGTCTTGTGCTTCAAGCTGTTCAGTCTCGAGCCTCACTGCTGCAATTGCACCATGGAGCGCGTGCGCGTGCGCGAGCGCGAGGGCGAGCGCGGAAGCGACCTCTTTTCCCAGAAAGTCCCTGACGAAATTCTTGGCATCATTCTCTGCCGAGTCGCGTCTGGCGGGCGCAAATTCGACCACGCCCTCGTCAGCAAGCGATGGCACCGAGTCGCCTGCCAAGTGCACCCGGGAGTCGCGTGGATGAGGCAAAATGCCTGCGACGAAGCAAGCCTTGAGCGAGCGGTCAGCTCGTTCCCGTCGCTCGCGGCGCTCTCTGTGACCGTTACGTCGCAGCTCCGCTCCTTCCCGGACTTCCGCCCTGGTCAGCTCCGCGCGCTGAAAACGCTGGACCTCGGATGGCTCGACGCGCTTCAGCACTTACCTGACGCCATGTCGCGACTCTCATCCCTCGAGTCGCTCTCCATCACCGAATGCCCTCTTCTCGCCTCCTTCCCTCCGTCCGCGCTCAGACTCCCTAAGCTCAAATCCCTCGTCTTGCGTCAACTCGCCTCGTTGACAAATCTCCCGCCGTCGGTCGCGTGCCTCGCGTCGCTGGAGACGCTGCACGTGACGCACTGCCCGTTGCTCGCGTCGCTTCCGGAAGACACGGGCGACCTGCCTTGTCTTAACCGCCTCGTCCTCGCGCATCTCCCCGCGTTGGACCATCTTCCGGAGGGCCTGGGCGGCTTGTCCGCGTTACAGCATCTCTCGCTTCAGCACATGAAGACCCTCAGCGTTATCCCCGCGTCCTTCTCCGCCCTTTCGTCGCTGCATCTCCTCGACGTCGTCTCTCTCCCGTCTCTCTCGACGCTGCCGGAATGCGAGCGTCCGTTTCCGCACCTCCTCGAGGTGCATCTTAAAGACCTTCCCGCGGCGACAGCGCCGGACACGTTCTTTCGCCGCATGCCCGCGCTGCGCCACCTGCGCTGCGAGAACATGGCGGGCGTGCCGCCGTCGCTCTCCTGTCTCACCAGCCTCGCGTCCCTCCACGTGCATAGGTGCCACAGCGGCACCGCCGCAGCGCTTCCGGACGGCATGGGCCAGCTCGCGAGCCTCGAGCAGCTGCGGCTCGACCACGTCGACGGGCTCGCGGTGCTCCCCGAGTCGCTCTGCTTGCTCGCGCGCCTGCGGAAGCTTGAAATCGAGGGCCTTCCCTGCTTGTCGCGCCTGCCCGAAAACTTTGGGCAGCTGGAAAAACTCGCACAGCTGAAGCTCCGAAGCGTGTCGGTGGAAAGCCTTCCGGAATCCATTGGCTCTCTGTCCAGCCTGGAAACAATAAGTATTTATGGCTGCCCCATTCTCACTCGCCTTCCAGACGCGTTCAGCCAGCTCCCCAAGCTCAAGACGCTCTCTGTGGAGAATTGCCGCAGGCTGGAGCAGCTGTGCCCGTCCATGGCTGCTTGCGCGAGCCTCGAGAGTCTGACTGTGTCGTGGTGCGAGAAATTCGAGTCCTTGCCCGCGGATTTGGGGAGTTTACCCCGACTACAGAGGGTGCGTGTGCACAGATGCCCGAAGTTGAAGCACGTGGCATCACCGCTGGGAAAGGAATGTGGCGGAGCAAAGGTGATTGTGGAATAGAAGTCTTAGTGTTCCGCATCCATTGAAGGAAGCATGGCAACCTTGATTGACTTTGCAGACTCTCAGGAGGCAAAGACCGCCAGCCGGGGTCTCTGAGTTTGGAGCAAGGTTTGAGGAGCTTCATACATTTGCAGGATTATTTGGGATTTTGTGCTGTCATTTGATTATGACAGCAACTTGGAAGGGTTGTGAAGCATGGCTTGCAGTCTTGTACAGTATGGAATGTATATTTTAATGCCCTATTTCTGTAACACATGTGAGTATTGAGCAATCTCAGTTGTGTTGCTTTTCTGCCATTATCATGGCATCATCCATCTGAGCCCCTCCCCCCCCCCCCCTCCTCCCCACCCACCCCCCCCCCCCCCCCCCCCCCCCCCGACATCCCACTCTCACCATGCTTCTAACGCACCCTCTCTACTCCTCCCCACCTCCCTATCATCCCCGCTGCAACTGACCTCCAAACCCACCTGCTTGGCAGAGCATTTGTCGGGTTGGTTCTACCTTCTCAAATGCCTTACCCACTTCTTCTGGAACCGTTAAAGCAAGGGTGCACTTTCGGGGGGGGTGCACCCAAAGGTTTATCACTTGGGTTGTAGGGTTACCCGGTTTGTTGAAGGGAGAGAGAGGCGAACAGGGAAGTCAGTGTGCGCGGAGTTGCGCACGTACAAACTTGCTCGGGGGTAGCGAAGGAGGTGATGGGAGTTGGGAACTTGGACACTTGGCGCCAGGCACATTGTGAACCAAAACACACATAACGTATTGTACTAGCACCCGTTTCCCAAGCCCCGAATGGAACAACAACCACTACCAACAGCTCACCATCCCGATAGGACAGCACTAACAAAGGTATAAACTAGGGAAGTCTATGTGCATTGAAACCCCCAAAACGGCAAGACGTAGCTTCAGAAGCGCGGTCTCGTCGCGCTTGGCACGCCGGTGGATTGGCATTTCAGAAAACACACAATTTCCTCGCTCCCAGCTCAGTTTGCTCCGTGCTCCGGCTGTTCCTCGCCTAGTTTCACCTGGCGCGCCTAGCTGTTCTCACTCCTCGCTCCTAGCTCCTGTCGCTCTTAGCATGCCGCTCCAGCACCCCGCTAGCCTTTACCATGGCGTCCACTAGAGTTCTCCAGCAGGAGGGACAGCAGCAACGACGGTTTGAGCAGTGGGAACCTCAGCAGCAATGGCGCCCTCAGCAACAGTGGCACCCTCAGCAGCAGTGGCGCCCTCAGCAGCATTGGCGCCCTTAGCAGCAGTGGCGCCCTCAGCAGCAGTGGCGCCCTCCCCAGCCGTGGGGACCTGGTGGTTCGGGTAGCGTTGGCTGCAGCAGCGGCCCAGCCAGCTGGGGGGCTCGTTGCGGTGGCCGCGACGTCGGTCCCTGCCAGTACCGGTCCCTGACCGGCCCTGGTGCTGGCACTACTTGCTGGCGTCCTGACCACTCTGCACAGCGCTGCTACACCCGCCTCGACGACCTCTACCGTGAGCATTTTGGGCCTGAGTCCAGGCCACCGATCCGGCCCGGTCTGTCTCGTAGTGGCTACCCTGTGTTTGATATGTCTATGGATGCTGCTTATTCAGTCACGTATGGATCTCTTGGCTTACGTGTACCTACCGGTAGCTTAGGACCTTTGACTGTTGCTAGTGTAGGTACTTGTGCTTTTAGTGTAGGTGCTTGTGTAGTCAGTAGTCCAGCCTTGACGACTGATGTCGCGTCGCTCTCCTTCACGATGGACTCAGGCGCGTCTCAGTGCTTTTTTCGCGACCACACCACCGTCACACCTCTTTCGGCTCCAGTCCCAGTTGCCCTGGCTGATCCTACTTCAGAACCAGCAGTCGCTTGCAGCTCGACCACTCTCCCGTGCCCGGCTGTCCCTTCTGGTTTCCTCACTCGTCTCTACATCCCCTTGTTTTCTCGGAACTTGGTGGGTGTTGGATACCTTCATGACCGTGGGATCACAGTCACTTTTCCTGCGCACGGGAGGACGGCGATCTGTACGGATGCTTCCACCGGGACACTTCTTGCCACTTTCACCAGGGAGCCCGACTCAGGTCTCTTCGTTCTGCACACTGCGTCCCACCAGGTAGCAGAGTCCGGTCAGGTTACTGCGTCCCCCCAAGTAGCAGAGTCAAGTCGGGTTACTGCATCCCCGCAGGTTGCTGTGTCCAGTCAGGTTGCTGAGTCCGGTCTAGTTGCTGCGTCCTGCTCTTGTCGGTCACTCTCCCACCCGACAGTCTTGTGGCACCACCGTCTTGGTCACCCGTCCCTCCCACGCCTCCGTAGCACCAGCCAACGTCTTGTCTCCGGTCTCCCGCGGGTCTTTGAGTCGCTCCCCCGTTCGCTTGCGCCGCCGTGCACTCCTTGCGTCGAGGGTCGGCTGCGTGCCACTCCTCACTCCTCACTCCTCCTCCCTTCGTCCGGCCACCGCTCCCTTCCAGACCCTCCACTTGGACGTCTGGGGCCCAGCCCCTCGTCTTGAGCCCGAGCGGGAGCGCTACTTTCTGGTGGTCGTTGACGACTACTCCAGGTACACAACGGTGTTCCCTCTCGCGAAGAAGTCCGAGGTGACTTCTACGCTGATCTGGTGGCTCTTGGCCACTGAGGGCACTCGTGGTTGTCGCGTCAGTTGTCTCCACTCCGACCGTGGGGGTGAGTTCCACTCCGACGTACTTGCCGGGATCTGCGGCGAGCAGGGCATCACACAATCCTGGACACTTCCGGAGTCCCCAAAGCAGAATGGGGTTGCTGAGCGCCGCATTGGCTTGGTCATGGAGATCGCCCGCACCTCCATGATCCATGACCGTGCGCCCCATTTTCTGTGGCCCTACGCGGTTCGCTACGCCGCCCACCAGCTGAACCTCTGGCCTCGTGTCTCACGACCAGGGGATTCACCGACCAGTCTTTGGACCGGGTCCCCTGGTGTTGAGTCGGAGTTTCACGTTTGGGGCTGCCTTGCGCTTGTCCGCAACACCTCTGCGGATAAGCTATCGGCTCGCGCCATCCCCTGTGTCTTCCTTGGTTTCCCGAAAAACTCTCCTGACTATTCGTTTTACCACCCGCCCCCCCACCGTTTCCTCGACTCCCGTGACGTCCGGTTTGACGAGTCCGTGTCCTACTACATCCGGTACCCCTGTCGAGGTCTCCCGATCCCACATCGTCCACTTTTCCTCGCACCCTCTCCTCCTCCTGCTCCCGCTCCTCCGGTACCCCCGCCCCCCCTGGTCCTGCCCCGTCAGGTGTGTCTCACGCTACCCCTCTACCCTCGGTTGCGCGTCAGGTAGCGTCTCCCTCCCCGCAGTCCTCCTCACAGTCCCCTCAGCAGCCTTCGGCACTTCCGCGACAGATTACTGTGGACTCAGGGGGTGTTGGAGCTGGAGGTGCTGCCACTGGAGGTACTCGTTCATGGGGTGCTCTTTTGAGGGGTGCTGGAGCTGGAGGTGCTGGCACTGGAGGTGCTAGTTCGGGGGGTGCTGGAGCTGGAGGTGCTTGCACTAGTGGTGCTAGTGCTGGGGGTGCTGGAGCTGGAGGTGCTGGCGCTGGAGGTGCTAGTTCTGGGGGTGCTGGAGCTGGAGGTGCTGGCACTGGAGGTGCTAGTTCTGGGGGTGCTGGAGCAGGAGGTACTGGCACTGGAGGTGCTATTTTCGAGGAGCCTCGAGCTGGAGGCACTACTACTGCGCCTCCCCACCGCCACGACACACGTCTCCAGGCGGCTTGCCGACGTGAGCGTGAGGAGCAGGAGAGGTTGGAGCAGGAGAGGCAGGAGCTGCGGCAGTTGGACCTGCAGGAGTAGCAGGAGCAGCAGCAGCAGCAGCAGCAGCAGCAGCAGCAGCAGCAGCGACAGTAGCGGCATCGGCAGCGGCAGTAGCGGCAGCGGCAGCGGCAGCAGCAGCAGCAGCATTCGCCGAAGCTGCCACTTTTGCAGCAGCTATTCCCTCCAGTGAGTGGCCTTCGGGCCCTTGGTCTTCCTTCCCCTCCTCCTGTCCACTCACAGTCTCCTACCGCGTACGGTCCTACGTTTCCTCCTCCGGACTCGGCTCCGGCTGTCCTCTCTCCTTCTCAGTCACAGTCGCCTCCTCCTGTTCCCCCGCACGACTGGACTGCTCGTTGTCCTCCGCTTGCTCGTCCCTCGTCTCCTTTTGACGACCTCCGCACTCTCTTGTTTCGTTCTAGTCCTCGTCGTGCTCCGCCTGTGTCTGTTCTCCCGCCACCTCCTGCGCGTCTCTCACTGTCTCCTCTCATCCTATCACTGACTACTACCCTGCTGCTCGTCCTGTTGTCTCGCATGTTCTCGCCTTTCTTGTCACCGACCCTCGTGCCTCTCCGTCGTCTGTCTCGGCTCTTACTGCCGCTATCGCTGACTTTGCTTCCACCCGCCGTCTTGACTTCTCCACGCGTGTAGTGGCTGCTTCGCCTGCCCGTCCTCTGTCCGCCGGGGGTGAGTTTGCCCTTGGCTGTGACGTCCTAGAGGAGAGGCAGTTTGAGCTGGAGTTCTTGGCAGTCGCTTCTCCCTCTCTCTGTGCCATGCTGCTTTTCCCTGAGGGAGACCCCGAAGCCTTTGATATTCCGACTCCTCGCACGTACCGTGAGGCAGTGTCAGGGCAGTGGGCCTCTCAGTGGAAAGTGGCCATGGACTCAGAGATGGCGTCTTGGAGATCCACAGGCACTTACGTCGACACATTTCCCCCTCCCAGGGCGAACGTAGTCGACGGCATGTGGATCTTCAGGGTGAAGCGGCCGCCTGGATCGCCGCCTGTCTTCAAGGCGCGCTACATGTCTAGAGGTTTCAGTTAGCGTGAGGGAGTTGACTTCTTCCAGACCTTCGCCCCGACCCCGAAGATGACGACTCTTCGGGTGTTACTTCACGTTGCAGCACAGCGAGACTACGAGCTGCACTCCCTCGACTTCTCCACTGCCTTTCTCCAGAGCAGCCTGCATGAGGAGATCTGGTTGCGTCGTCCTCCTGACTTCACTGGCATTTTCCCGCCCGCGACCCAGTGGAGCCTGAGACTACCAGTCTACGGTCTCCGCCAGGCGCCCCGTGAGTGGCACGACACGCTGCTCACCACTCTTGCCGCCCTCGGGTTTCGTCCTTCGTCCGCCGACCCGTCGTTGTTCGTTCGTTCTGGGCCCACACCTTTCTTCGTCCTTGTCTACGTCGACGACTTGGTATTTGCTACAGCAGACATGGCCGCTCTGGCTGAGGTGAAGTCCGAACTGCAAAAGAGACACACATGCACTGACCTTGGTGAAGTGCGCCGCTACCTTGGCTTGCATATCACCAGGGACAGAGCCGCTCGCACCATTACACTCTCACAGTCACACATGGTGCAGCAGGTCCTTCAGCGGTTCGTGCTTCAGCACTCCACCACACAGCCCACTCCTCTTGTCGTTGACCACAGACTCACTGGTCCTTTTCCCGACGAGCCCTTTGAGTCTAGTGGTCCCTACGCAGAGCTTGTGGGCTGCCTCGTGTACCTGATGACTTGTACTCTTCCGAACCTCGCCGTCCACAGACTCACTGGCCATTTCCTCTGAGCGTCCTCTCTCACTTTGTTGCGACAGGGAGACACCGTCCTGTTCACTGGACAGCTGCTGTGAGGGTGGCAAAGTACCTGGCGACTACGTCAGGCATGGGGCTTGTGTTTGGAGGGAGACAGCCAGTTGTTTTGACCGGTCACTGTGACTCTTCCTACGCCGACGACGTGGAGACATAGAGGTCCACGCAGGGCCCCCTGCTTCAGCTTGGGAGCTGGAGCTGTGTCGATGAGGTCTACTCGGTCGTCGTCGGTGGCTTCGTCCAGTGCAGAGGCAGAGATCTACGCTGGTGCCATGGCTGCATAGGAGCTTCGCTGGTTGACTTTCTTGCTCGCCGACCTTGGTGAGCGGCCTCGCTCTGCACCGACCTTATTTGTTGACAACAAGGCCATGATCCTCCTGTGTCGAGAGCCTCAACTGGAGAGCAGATTGAAGCACATTGAAGTGAGTTACTTTCTCCTGCGAGAGTTGCAGCGACGCGGCCAGGCACGCTTGGACTTCGTGGCCTCAGAGGCCAACACTGCAGACATCCTCACCAAGGCCCTAGCGCCTAGTGACCACCATAGGTTATGTCTGCAGTTAGGCCTTGTTGACGCTGATGTTAGGTTGATGTAGCATTATTTCTTGTTGCTTGCTTTGCTTGTCCTTGCATCTATATATATTTGTAAACTCTTGAACTGACCTTGTGGCCGTTTGCTTGTGCTCGGAATGTGTGGTGATCTTAAGATCCACCCTGAGAGTTGTCGTGTTGCTTCTCTTGACTGGTCTTGTGACCATGTGTGTTCATTGCTCTCTCTTGCTATCCCTCACTTAGCCTATGGGGGTGTGTCAAACATATATATTTGTATGTTCTAGGCTGTAGTGATGCATGCATTAGAGAGTATAGGTTGTTAGGGTTTGCATTTGAACCCACCTCCTTTCCTAATCAATCATTCCGTTGTGTTCACTTTCAGAGAAGGCGGAATTGCAGGCGCTCAATATTCCGCAAACGACCACACGCTGCTAGTCTAGGGTAAACAGAGCGCGACGATCGCTTCTCCGTCGCGTTCAGGTCGAGTGAAATCCCCGCCCCCACGACCTGCCTTACTCCCCGCGCCGCATCATGATCGACATGCCCACGCGAAGCAGGGAGCGACACCACGCTGCGCCTGCTGTCCAAGCCCACCGTCGCACGCCACTGTACGGTTTCTTACCCCCCTCCCTCCCTTACTCCTCCGTCTGCGGAGTTCATATAGTACCCGCTGGCCGCGAAACAGCATTCGCACGAATACTCGCGAAATGCACTAAAGGTCGCTCCACCCTCCATTGCTCCACCTTCTCCCCTCACTGCTCTCTATCCATCCCGGGTATAATCTTCCCGCAGGGTCCAAACACCATCGCCGCAAGCGAGCGCCCAGAGCGGTCGGCCCGATCACTGACATCGCTGGGTCGAGACAACCGACCCCGTCAGCCGCATTTTCCGCGCCAGGAGCGAGGCGCGGCTTTGGGAAGCGCCTCTGGAAAACCCTGGTCCCACGCCAATGCAAACCACGTGCGGAACCCTCACAACGCTAGCAGCAACCCCCAACGTGCATAACCTATCATACCCCCCGCCATCCTAACCCTCATCCCTTTCTCTCCCTTACTCCCCTCTCAGATACCCCTTTCTCTCCCTTCCTCCCCTTGGCCAGTGCCCCCTCTCTCCACGTCACTCCACTCGGCAATACGCATGCCTCTCCCTTACTCCCCTCGGCCGGCGATACCCCCTTCTCTCCACTGCTCCCCTCGAATTTATCGCTTGCTCTCGCTTACTTCGAGTGCAGATGCCCTTTCTCTCCCTCACTCCCCCCAGCTATACCTGGACCACAAAACTAACTCCGTGACCTATCCCCCTTTCCCTCCCTTACTCACACCGGCGGTGCCCCATTCTCTCCCTTACTCCCCTCTCAAATACCCCTTATGAATCTACCATACTCCACTCTGCTACACTCCATTCTCTCCCTTACTCCCCTCGGCTATCCCCCTTTCCCTTCCTTACTCCCCTCGGCTAAGGTGAGTTCTCTCCCTTACTCCCCTCTCAAAAACCCTTTTCTCTACCTTACTCCACTCTGCTACACCCCTTTCGGTCCCTTACTCCCCTCATCTATACCCCACGCTCTTCACTGCTCCCCTCATATATACCCCTTGCTGTCCCGTATTCCCCATGGCTATACCTCTTTCTCTCCCTCACTCCCCGCGCCTATACCCTTTTCTCTCCCTTGCTCCGCTAGACTATCCCCCTTTCTCACTCTACTCCCCTCTGCTACACCCCTTTATCTCCCGTACTCCCCTCGGCTATACCCATTGACCGCCTATACTCCCCTCGGCACTACCCCTTTCGGTCCCTTACTCCCCTCTGCTATACCCATGTCTCTCCTTGACTCCGCCCCCATGACGTGCCCTTTGAACGCATCTCCCTTACGCTCTGAACGCACCAGCCCGGCCACCCCCAAAATCCACCCTTTTTTTTCCTTTACCCCCTCATCCCCCTTTCCCCTCTCTTCCTTGCACCATTCTTCCCCCTTACCCCTCTCTGCCTTATTCTCTTCTTCTCGCTTCCCCCTCTCTGCCTTACACCAGTTCACCCCCTTTCCCCCCTATGCCTTACTCTCTTCTAACCCCTTCCCCCTTTCTTCCTTACATCCTTCAACCCCCTTTCCCCTCTCTGCCTTACACCCTTCTTCTCTTTCCTTCTCCTATCTGCCTTACACCCTTCTCCCCCCGTTCCCCTCTCTGCCTTACACCCTTCTTGCCCCTTTCCCGTCTCTGCCTTTCACCCTTCTTCCCCCTTTCCCCACGCCAGCACAGCGCCCTACGCATCGGCCAATCCGCACCTCTCTCCTCAACGTCGCCAAGCCGCTCCCCACGCCATCGCTGCGCCTCTCCCGGGGGTGTAACATCAACACTCTGATCGCGGAAACACGTATGGAACGCCATCTCTTCTCTCCCTCTCTCCTCCCTCTTCCTTCTCTCATCTCCCTCCCCTCTCTCCTCTGTCTTCCCTCACGCCCCTCCTTGCCCTCTCTCCTCCGCCTTTCCTTTCTCAACCCCCTGCTCTATCTCTTCCCCTCTCTAATCTCAACTCCTTGACCTCTCCTCCCCCTCTTCCCTCCCTCATCTCCCTTCCCTCTCTCACCTCTCAGCCCTCCATCCCTTCAATGCCCTCTCTCCCCTCCATGCCCTCTCTCGACCCCTTGCCCTCTTTCCCCTATCTCCTTCACATCCATCTTCCCCCCTCCCCCTGTCTGTTGGACACCCTTCTTCTCCCCTTCCCCTCTCTACCTTACACCCTTCGTCCCCCTTTCCCCTGTCTGCGGTACACCGGTTTTCCCCCTTTCCCCTATCTGCCTCTCACCATTCTTCCCCCTTTCCCCTCTCTGCCAGTCACCCTTCAACCTCTATTCCCCTCTCTGCCTTTCACCATTCGTCTCCCCTTCCTCTCTCTGCCTTACGCTCTTCTTCCCCCCGTTCCCTCTCTTCCTTACATCCTGCTTCAACCTCTCCCCTCTCTGCCTTACACCCATTACGCCACTCTGCCTTCTACCCTTCTTCCATCTTTCCCCTATCTCCCATACATCCATCTTCCCCCTTTCCCTCTCTGCGAGACACCCTTCTTCTTCGCGAACCCTCTCTGCCTCTCACACTTCGAGAGAGGGGAGGAAGGGATGAGAGAGGGGAGGAGGGGATGAGAGAGGGGAGGGGGGGATGAGAGAGGGGTGGACGATTGAGGCGCATTACCCTCTGAGGAACATGGTAAAGCACCTGTTGCACATGTTTTAACCACCTGGTGCAGGGTATGGAACACCTGAGACCGAGGAAAGTGCACCTGCGGCGCGGGGTAGAGCACGCCCCAGACGAGGAAGAGGCGCGACGCGACCCTGCGGGAGCGTGGCAAACACGGGCATGGGGAGAGGGGAAGGCGGGGAGGGGAGAGAGGGCGAGGTGAGGGGGAAGGAGGAAGGGGGAGGGTAGGGGCAGCGCGTTGGGAAGTCAACGCAAGAGGCAGGGGTGCAGAAGTGGAGCTCGAGGCAGCAATGTGGGAGGTGGGGCGGCTAGGGACGATACGCACATAGCAGGGACTAGTCTTGCGGTAGACCCAGATTTGAGGAAACGGACGTCAAGAGAGTTCTAAGGAAACGGGAAAACTCGGGAAGCTCACCGAGAATGATGTGGATGATCTGCGCGTGCCGCGCCGGCATGGTAGTGCGTTTTCCGGATGGCATGCGAGTAGGGAGAGGGAGCAGGGGGCGGCAACTTGCGCAATTTTAGATGGGCTAAGGAGTCAGGCGCTGGAGCACTGAGGCGGCAAGCAACTCGCTAAATGCGGATCATGAGGAGGGTTAGCGGCGAGTCAGCAATGTATGGGCGATGAGGAGGCGAGGAAGCGAGGCGGCGATGTGGCGGCGACGAGGAGGCGAGGCAGCGAGGCGGCGATGTGGCGGCGATGAGGAGGCGAGGCAGCGAGGCGGCGATGTGACGGCGAAGAGGAGGCGAGTCAGCGATGTGGCGGCGAAGAGGAGGCACCTATCGAGGCGAGGCGACGATTCAGCGGCAATCTGGCGGCGACGCGCCGACGAGAAGGCGAGGCGTCGCCCGGCCAGGACACGAAGCAACGGGGAGGCGAGACAGGCGGGGAGTCGAGAGGCTGAAGAGGATAGGTTCCGGCGATTCGGGGAGGAGGATGTGAGGTGGCGAAACGACGAGGAGGCAGCGAGGACAGGAAAACGACGCGCCACGCAGGCGACGACGTCGCGAGCTGGCCGCGATGACGCCTATCACATGCGATGAGGCACTACCATGTACCCGGGGAAGAACGAACCTCCTGCTCTTGGGCTATCCCGTTGTGGCGCTTAGGGAGTGCTTGCTTAGCTGCCATCGCTTGGGTTGTGTGGTTTCTACGCTTTGGTGTTGAAGCTATCCTTGGTTTATCACTCGCTTGGTTGATCGACACACTTCATTATCTCCGCTTGGAACTCCGCTTGCTTCTCACTTCCGCGTTTGTTTCCCGCCCTTCCGCGGTGTATTCCCCCAACCAAACATTCGAACGAAATTGGTAGGCATTGCCTGCCTTGTTTCAATTCTTCGCACCAGCCTTACGTACCCTGCACAATTCGCCCTCGAATCAGCAAGCGCCAAAGGGTGTGCACTGACAATACACCCAAAAGCCACCCCCAGATATGTGCACCCTTGCTTTAACGACTAAATTGATACTAGTGCCACCACACCAATAGGTGTCTACGGGCTTGTGTACACATTAGCTAAAGTTATGTTGATCAACTGTAATGATTTGGAAAAAAAATACACTGTAACCACCTCTTCTTTTTGACTTCTCCGCTAACTTTTCATTTACAGCACAGAACACTGTTTGATAGGGTGGGATGCCGACCATAGGCATTGGCGCTTCGGGCATCTCGAGTTCTGCGTTGGACGCTATCCCACGCTGAAAATCATGGAATAAGGCTGTAGGCAACTAACCAACAGGCACGGCCAAACCAGCCAGCGAACCAAACCAAGTAACGTTACAGTCATTTTGCGTTAGCCGAATGGGGGTATTCGTCCTTTGTGCAATGGATGGTATCTTAGTGCCAGCTACGCATTTTGTAATTTCAGGGGGTGTACATAATAATTACATTGCGGAATATTTTTATGACAGCTTAATTAACTTAGGTCGCTGCCATATATAGACTATAAACCAGAGATGTAGGCAATTTAACACATTGTTGAAGTTGTTTCTAACTATATATACGAGTTGAAGTTAAAATCTACAGTACCAACATATACAAAAATATTACTAATCAGTTTAATATCAATAATAAACATGAATATATGCATCTGAATCATTCACTAACATCGTCAAATTGATAAGTATATCATTTAAGATTTATTTTTGACACATTTAATGTATTTCTGATACATCAGTGCAATCTTTGATGTTATTTTGTAACATATTCGAGGTAAGCTACTACGATGTATTTTTTGTACAAGGAAGGATCACTAATATTCTATATTACATGATTATATATGGCATGGTTGATAACATTTCAAATATATAAATTGTAATTGCATTGATATAAAACTATGTGTTTACTAATATGTCAAAAATCTATTTCTATTTCCTACAAAACTAGCTGTAGAAACAAGACACAATAAACCATATTATTATCTATTATTTATGAACTCGCTATATAGTTTTTATGCAGCCTGCATATTTGGTGTTATCCTATTGATTATAAAGATTATTATGTATTATATAGTTTCATTTTTTATTTGAGATCGCTAAAAAACCCGTTAATGTTAACAGTAATATACTTTATTTGTCCAAACTTTCACTTTATAATTACTAGGAATTTTATTGGAACAAACAAAGATTCAAAGAACAATACAATGATGGAGCTTGGTCTATTGTTTTGTTACGCACAGGCACAGTTATTGGAACAAACACAGCTCTTCTATATAATTGTGTGGGGAGGTGATTTCACCAAATGGTATCCGGTCCCGGGAAGCCAAGTTCGCGCAGGATGTCAACGTACATGTGGTGTAGTAATTTTTCCAGTTCACCCGAGCCACACTCCCAGGTCTGTGAGATTGGAGGCCTGATGCCTTCGAGAGAACCAACATCGGCGCCTAGGCTTCACTCGTGCACAGTGCCCCTCCCTCCCCTTTCCACCCCTACCCTCGCCAGATTTCTTGTTGCTGCGGAGCCGCCGCACAGAGTAGCGCACACACCATTCCACACCGTTCCACAAGGAAAAATATCGAGGAAACTTTAGCTCTGTTGATGTTATCTGTTGCCCGGTTTCCCTGCTCGCGGCTGTGGTAGGTGTTCCTCCTCTCAACTTGAATTCCTCCCTTCTTCCTGGCTACAATTACGCATCTCGCGCGCGTCGATCGTGCCCCACATTACCGCACCTTCCACGCATCGCCGTGCGGGCGTCGTTTTCAAATCCAGCGACTTCTTTAGAGTGGCACGTCGCTTTCCCAGTACCAAGTCTGCGCCGCCTCTGCTTTCCTCTATCGCTCCCTGCCTCGGTCGCTACCACCGCCTTATCGTGGCTCGCCTTGCAAACGATCGCGCTGCAGCATTTCCCATGGCGTTAGTACTGCTACTACCTCTGTCCCGACGATAGGCGCAAGCCCGCTGCGTCACAGCGCTGCGTCCGCCGCAGCCCGTTCCGTGAAGTCATCTCCAGGCTAGTCGACTCGCGCCGCGGCCGCGACCCGCATTTCTATCACAACTGGCGCCGCCCTCGTCACCCCCGAGCCCACTCCCCCCCGGGCTTCCCCCCACGCGCAACTTCTCCGCTCGTGCGCGGACCATCTGGCAGGTCCTGCAACCGCAACGCTGCCAGAAACCGAACGCGGAGGGCGCTTGGGGGCCGAATTCCTCCTCCGCGCGCCGGTGCTCGTATCCATTACTACTAGCTCACCGACACTGCGACAGTGCGAAGTGCGACTGAGCGCAACAGCGGGACAGCGGGACCTCTTTTAGAACCCCCCTCGCGCGTGCGGCGTGCAAACCGTTGATCGGACCCGGGGCTGTTGAGCCGTCTCGGGCAGTTCCTCCTCCAGCAATCGCTTCTGACAGCATGATGGCGCAGCGAGACCGGTCACCGTCGTCACCGTCGTCACTGTCGCCTATAGTAGCAGCGGTTATTTGCGTGAGTTGTTGTCAGACGCTTCGCTGCAGAATTTCCGTCGCATGGTTCTTTCTTTCTTGTCGCAGCCCTCCCCGCCGCTTTCTCGTTCTCCCGATGCCCCATTTGTCCCGAATTGTCCCCAACTGTGCCACCCCGCGTCCCCCCCATTGCCCCTCCAACTCCCCCTCCCTTGCGCCCATGCCCTCCCCACCACCGCCCTTCAGCTACTCGCCACGCATCTCTGTGCCGCCACAGCCACACATACACGTGCTTTGAGCGCGCTGGGAAGGCCTGAGGACGCTGGAATCACTGGGAGCGATGGGAGCACTGAAAGCGGTGGGAGTGGTGGGAGTGGTGGGAGTGGTGGGAGTGCGGGAACCGTTGCTGGTGCTATTCCCAGCAGTGCTACTTCAGGATTTGCTAGCAGCCGCAAGCACATCACGGGTCGCCACGTGCCCCAGTGAGAAAAACCGCACCCCCCAACCCTCACCCACCCGCTCCTCTCCTGCTGCGGTTTCATCCCCCATACTTCTCCACTCGCTTGCCGTTTCCTCCCCCCCCCTTTGAGCCCTCCACTGCTCTCTCTACATGCTCACGCACCTAGTTCCCCCTCCTCCCGGCACCCCCCCTTTCCCCGCCCCCTTCTCCTGTCATCTGAACACCCTGCCATTTCGTGCCCCTACGCCCTGCTTTTGCACAGCACTGCAATCCAACAGCACCACCCAATCCAACAGCACCACCCAATCCAACAGCACCACCCAATCCAACAGCACCATCCAATCCAACAGCACCATCCAATCCAACAGCACCATCCAATCCAACAGCACCATCCAATCCAACAGCACCATCCAATCCAACAGCACCATCCAATCCAACAGCACCATCCAATCCAACAGCACCATCCAATCCAACAGCACCATCCAATCCAACAGCACCATCCAATCCAACAGCACCATCCAATCCAACAGCACCATCCAATCCAACAGCACCATCCAATCCAACAGCACCATCCAATCCAACAGCACCATCCAATCCAACAGCACCATCCAATCCAACAGCACCATCCAATCCAACAGCACCATCCAATCCAACAGCACCATCCAATCCAACAGCACCATCCAATCCAACAGCACCATCCAATCCAACAGCACCATCCAATCCAACAGCACCATCCAATCCAACAGCACCACCCAATCCAACAGCACCATCCAATCCAACAGCACCACCCAATCCAACAGCACCACCCAATCCAACAGCACCACCCAATCCAACAGCACCACCCAATCCAACAGCACCATCCAATCCAACAGCACCATCCAATCCAACAGCACCATCCAATCCAACAGCACCATCCAATCCAACAGCACCATCCAATCCAACAGCACCATCCAATCCAACAGCACCATCCAATCCAACAGCACCATCCAATCCAACAGCACCATCCAATCCAACAGCACCATCCAATCCAACAGCACCATCCAATCCAACAGCACCATCCAATCCAACAGCACCATCCAATCCAACAGCACCATCCAATCCAACAGCACCATCCAATCCAACAGCACCACCCAATCCAACAGCACCATCCAATCCAACAGCACCATCCAATCCAACAGCACCATCCAATCCAACAGCACCATCCAATCCAACAGCACCATCCAATCCAACAGCACCATCCAATCCAACAGCACCATCCAATCCAACAGCACCATCCAATCCAACAGCACCATCCAATCCAACAGCACCATCCAATCCAACAGCACCATCCAATCCAACAGCACCACCCAATCCAACAGCACCACCCAATCCAACAGCACCATCCAATCCAACAGCACCATCCAATCCAACAGCGTTGACCAGGGCAAAGCCTGGTTGTTGTAACACAACACTTGACTCCCCCTCTTCTCTCAACAGAATCACTCCCCTTCCCCCATCCCCCTCCCTCCCCTCCAGCTCCCTCCGCCCATCTCCTCGCACGCAAATACACACCAGCAACACCAGCACCAGCAGCAGCAGCAGCACGGTGTACCGACCACTAGGAGTGCTGGAGTCAGGGTGCGGCACGGCAACGTGCGATGCGGAGCCGTGGCGGTGCAGTGTGATGAGCAACCCCATCAAGGTGTACCTCATCTGGCACGGCGCCTTCTCGCACGCGCAGAAGGAGGTCGTGCGCACCTTCGTGCGCTCGCTCAGTAGCTCCGAGGGCACCGGTGCGTGGGATGGAGGAGGGAGGGAGAGTGGGAGGGGTGGCGGGGTGAGAAGGGGGAGGGGGCTCTGGTGCGGGGGGGGAGGGGTGGGGATGGTATGGGTAATGTGTGTGAGTGTGAGATTGTGGGGAGTGGTGTGTGTGATGAGCAACCCCATCAAGGTGTATCTCATCTGGCACGGCGCCTTCTCCCACGCGCAGAAAAAGGTCGTGCGCACCTTCGTGCGCTCGCTCAGCAGTGCGGAGGGCACCGGTGCGTGCCAGGGGGGACGGTGGGAGGGGTGGGGAGGCGGTCTGAGAAGGGGGAAGGGGGGCAACGGTGCGAGGTAGGGAGGGGTCATGGAATTCACCCAACCTGTACTGTACCACCTCTGCCAACCAAACCCAACCCAACCATCCCACGCTCTCACCTTCCCAACCCCCCTCTCTCTCCACTCCCACATCTCCCCCCACCATATACCTCCCGTGCCACCGCAGTGAAGGGGTGGTGGGACATATCAGAGCTGTACGACGACTGTGACGACAACACGGTATCCGCCTCGGTCTCCCTGGCCGGCTTTTGAGATGTCTCAAAAGTCCCCCCCATGCCACTCCCCACTCCTTTCCCCCACCAGTGAAGGGGTGGTGGGACATATCAGAGCTGTACGACGACTGTGACGGCAACACGGTATCCGCCGAGGTGTCCCTGGGGGGCGAGATGCAGGTGCGCCCCAACGCCATGCGCCTGCTGCTGGGGGAGCGCTCCATCGTCAACCTCGTGCGCATGGGCATCAACCGTGGCAAGTTCCCTGCTGACGAGAACGGCGTCTACTTTGTCGTTGGCAACCGCTACAGCAAGCAGGTGCGTGCGTGGGTGCGTGCGTACTGGGTGGTGGGTGGCTTGGGGTTGTCACGCTGGGTGGGTTGGTGGGTGGGTGTGTTGTGTTGGTCGGCGGAGCAAGTGCGTTGCTCGTGCCTGATTGCCTTGCATTGGACATGGGTCTGCAACTCATTTGGTGCACAATCTGAGGGGCCTTGACCCAAGCGATTGGTTGGTTGGTCCCCCAAGCATCCAACCACGCCTCCCATCCACCCCTCTCCTCACCTCACCGCTTCTCACCACCACATCCCTAGTCGCCTTCTCACCTTTCCCCACGCCCGCCCTCTCTCCGCTACCTCTGTGCGTGCCGCTGCTGCCCGTGTGCCATGCCCCCCTGCCCCACCCACCACCAGTGGGGATCATTGAACCCCTGGGGCGACAACTTCTGCAGTGGCTTCTGTGGGTGGCACAGCTACCGCACCGTCAAGGGCAAGCGCCTCAAGTACTCCTTCGTTGGCAACCCCGCTGGCAGGGTCAGTCACTCACCACCGCGCCTCGCCCTCCTCTGTCCCAACACAACCCCTGCCCCTAGCACGTGTAGCCCCTTAAGTTTTTCGCCTATGGTCCTCCCGGTTCCCTGTCCCCTTCCCTTCCCCCTTTTCCCAGTCTCTTCTCCCTCTCCCAAGCACAAAGCCCACCCGTTCCTCTCTCCCTCCCTGCCTCTTTTGGCGAACATTAGTGCCTTACATCTATGTTGCACTATACGCGATTCACGTATCAGTCGCGTTCGACTTATACGCTTACGGACGTACGTGATACGGGGGATTTCCGCCCCGGGATACGCTTCAAATACGTTCGCCCGGGCAGACGGAAAAAAGTTTCGGGCAGGGGAAAAATAGTGTCAGGGGGGTGAGTCGTGTTGCCTATGTTCTTTGTGATTGTGCCCTGGTGGTGTTGTCCCTACGTGTGAATTTTTTTTTCGCCATTACACACATGCATTGCAAGTACACACATAATAGCAACTACTTGCACATACCTCCCCGAACTCCTCTACTCCCCAAACCTTCAGCTGCTAACTAATACTCGACCTCTACTCCTCATGCTCGTCGCCTCGTCCGCCACTTACCCTGCTTCTGCCTTTCTTACTCTACGTACTCATCGGCCAGCACGGCCTCATCCTCCTCCTCCTCCTCCTCCTCCTCCTCCTCCTCCTCCTCCTCCTCCTCCTCCTCCTCCTCCTCCTCCTCCTCCTCCTCCTCCCCTTCCTCCTCCTCCTGGTATCCCTCCGGCAGAGGGGGAGCAGGGATGTTGCCCGGAAGCACCGCCAGTGACTCACCAAGCTTGTGGTACTTGTGGACCACCGGCCAGTTGTGGGCCACATAAACTAGGTCCCGGAGTTTCTCCGAGCCTAGCTTGTTGCGGCGGGCAGTATGCACCGACTCCCACGATGCCCACCCGCGCTCACACGGCGAGGCTGACACCGGCTGTGTCAGGGAACGGCACGCAAGACTGGCCAGGTGGGGGTGGTCAGTCCCGTGCCATCCCCACCACGCCACCATCGATTGCTTGCCTGCCTTCACGGCCTCCCTGTCGGCAATTGCCTCAGGGAGGCCGAAGGATCCCTCCAGGTTGATGAAGGCCGTGAGCCCCTCCTGCAAAACAAGAGAGGCCCGCTTCTCCTCACCGTCCTTGTTGGTGAAGGTCTTGCCGTCGTAGTGGCGCGCGATGAACGCCTTGAAGATGCGGGTACATTCCACATCGTTGCGGAATATACCCTCTTCCTGATTTGCTGGGTTCAGGATCCGGCCAACGACGTGAAGCGCGCAAGCGAGGCTCTCGTCCCAACGGCTCTTAACGATCTTCCTTATCTTATCCGCGTCCGCCCGCGTCAGAAACTTGTCCCCCGCATCCACCTTGGTGTTCATGTCCTCGGTCAGTTGGAGCATGTGGTCATAGATGGTGCCCATCATGCCCTTAGCGCTGCTATCCGTGGCCCGCATCACCTTGAACGGAAGCGCCAGCAGCTCCACGAGGTAAGTTCCTTTCTTCCACCACTCGTCGTCCATGACTTGGCCGCGGAAATTATCTGCCGTCAGCTTCCTTGCCCCGCTCCCCCAGTTGCCGTACTCCTCGCTCAGCACCAAGGTCGACAACGAAGACCGCAGCTCGCACAGCCTTGAGAGGGAGATGAAGTTGGTGCCGAACCTGGTCCCCGCCGGCTTCACAAGCTGCTTCCCCTTTCCTCCCTTTACCGCCCCACTCCTCAGGTAATTGCGGGTGAAATGGTGGTTACGAACGTAACTGACCATGTCCCCGCACCGATCCACAATCTCCTTCGCCCACGTGATCTTCCCAACGTCCTCCATGAGGAGGTCGAGCACGTGCGTAGCGCACGGCACGTACTCGATGTGCGGCCATTCCGCCATAAGCTCCTTGCAGGCGGCCCCGTAGTTGGAGCCCCCGTCCATGCAAAGAGCGACCACGTTTTCGGGCCCTATTTTCTCGATGATGGGGCGGAGAATGGAAGCGATGAAGCCGCCGGTTTTTGACTCCATGTTGCAGTCAATTGCCTCGACGAACACTGCTCCCGAGTCGTTGATGAGCATCACGTTCGCCTGCGGCCTCCCGCACCGATCGGTCATCAAGTCCGACGAGACGGTGACGCCATCCCTCTTCCAGCTCGCGGCGATTGGCTGAAGCCCCCTCTCGATGCCCGTGCGGCAAAGCTTCAGGCCATACCCTCCCACGTAGTTACGGCGCGGCGCGACATAACCGGGGCCTGCGTTGTTAATGGCCCGCACCATGTTGCGCCACAATGGGTTGTCGGCGTGATGTGCGGGAATGCGACAGCCGGCGAAGAACAAGCAGACGGAGTTGTTCGCCTCTTCGTTCTTGCATTTCTGCTCGTCGCCAATGAAGTCGGTGATGCGTCCTTTCTTAGAACCTCCCACGACAGCTTCGAGCGCAGCCTCCTCGGCCCTCCTCTTTTCGTCGCGGCCGGATGATTTCTTCTCGTAATGCGCGCGCACCGCCGCTCGCACGTCAGACGGAGCCTTCGCGCACAGGCGGACGTCGCGCGTTTTCTGTCCCTTCCATTTCGCGAGATGCTGAGCGCATCGAAACGCACCACCCTTGAACTCGACGGAGCAATACTTGCAAACGCGGACAGTGCCGACGGTGTCAGGGCGGATCGGAACCTTGAAATGCATAAAAACGATGTACTTACTATCCTCTTCCTGCCATTGTGCCTCAGAGGTCGAGGCTGACGGATCAGTAGACTGAGCGCTGGGAGATGGGTCTGGAGTAGCCATAAACAGAGAACAAACGAGAGGGAGGCTAGACAGAAAGAAGTGGATGAGAGTTGTGTTGAGGTGGGGTGAAATATACTTACCACGTATTGGTTGTGGGGAGGGGGACGTGCTGTGGTTGGTCACGACTTGTTGGGGGTGAGTGGGCAATGTTGATGTACGTGGGGTGAACGTGGCGACTCGGGGTTGCACGTCCCTTGGTTGAAAAAAACGCGATTCGAAATGTCGGTATACGTGCGTAAGAAAAGTGCGCGAATATTTTTTTTTTCCCCCAAAACATTTTCCCCTGCCCGGCTTTCCGTATCGCGTAGTTGTCCCCGTTTCACGTATTTGCGTTTATACGTGAACGCATAAACGTGAAACGTACAACAGTCTGAGCGTATAGTGCAACATAGCCTTACATCCCACCAATCATATGGTTTATGGGTCCCTATGGTAATATGGGTCAAAGTGAGCAAACACTTCTGGAGCTCTATTCTAACCAGCCTCGGGGTTAAAGAATATGGCAAAGGAAGCTTTCAACCTCAACTAGGGCAATCCCTAGTTGTACACCCAAGCACAGTCTGGGTAATCATATTTATTATTCAGGATATTGATATAACATCTACCGCTCGGTTTCCCACTGCATCCCACTTCCGTGCGTGATTATTACCCCTCTGCAGTGCATTTGAGGCAAAGACAATCTCGTCAATATGTGCCATCAGAGCCAACAGTAATCATGGGCGCCAACACCACGGCAGCAGCACCGTGTATTAGCAGTGTTGCCACGCTGCAGTGTACCCCTTTCCCCCCTCCATCCCCCCTCTCCTTCCCCCTCCCTCCCACCATTCCCCCACTTCCCCACACCCCACGCACCCGCACGCCCGCAGTGCATGTGGTCGTGTGGCGGCAAGACGCTGTACAACGCAGAAGCGGGGCCGAGTGGGGTGGGCAAGGGCATGGACTCGGTGGTGTCCACACTGGCTCACGAGCTCACAGAGGCCGCCACTGACCCGTACCTCGCCACGTGGAGCGACGCTGATGGCAATGAGAACGCTGACGTGTGCGACGTTGAGTGAGTGGCTTGGGTGGCGTATCGGGAAAGGGAGGGGGTGATGGGGAAGTGGGTGCTGGGTTTCTGTGACTGTGAGGTTGCGTGGATGTGCATGTGAGCATGTAAGTAGGTATGCGCTCAACCAATCAAGGTTTTCGCACTCGAGCAATCCCCACTCCTGTCTCAACTCAACCCTGTCCTTGTGAGGCCAACCTCACGCCACTTCCTTCATCTCCCCTTCCACTCTCTTCCACTTCACCTTCTGATCCGCCTTGCTCTCTCCTTGCACTTCTTGCGCCTTGCACTTTCCTCTCCCCAAAACCACAAACCCACTCGCCATCTTCCATAATAAGCCTTCATGTCAATCCATATCCACCTTACAGCTGCACTGCCGACACCCTTGTCCCCAGCCACGGAGTATGTATGCACTAGCAACATCCCTCACCCTGTCCTACCCCCGTCCTTTCCCTCCCAACCCCTCCCTTCCCCTCCCCCCCTCGCAGCTTCACCAGCAGCGATCTCTCCACAACGTCAGATGGAGCGCCGTACAACCTCGAGGGCATAGGGGGTTCCAAGTTCCTGGTGCAGAAGAATTACCATCCCACCCAGCACGAGTGTGTCAACACGGTGTAGTGTAGTAGTACAGTACAGTACACACAGCTCCGCAGCACCCCCCACGGGGGCAGGCAGTGAATGCCAGTCAACTATGACGCGTAGGTAGCGTCACTCACTCGCATAACCCCAACCAGGCATTTCCTGGAAGGTTGGCTTGGCTCGTCCCGTCACCACCACCACCCACTGCAAGCTTTTAAAACCCAAGGCCCCGGCATGCTGCATCTCACAGCACAATGGGCTGTTTCACCTGTCTTGTTGCTCACCACATTGCACTTGTCCTATATTGGTGCTCTTGATGTTACCGCAAGTATACAGCACGTCCTGTCCTGTGCCTTTCATATTGTAAGCTGTTTTTGGGTCCTTCAGTTAGTGAGGTGCGGCGGGAGGGACATGGACCATGGTCCCAAGCTGAGCCGCGCAAGCAAGGCACCCCAGGAACCAGACAGGATTGCGCAGCTCGATTTTCCAACCATTGCATTCTGTGCCAGCCCTGTGTAGACAGCTGCTCATTTTTAGTGTGAGAATGGTCCGTGGATGCAATTCTGTTAAGACTTACCGGTATATCTCAACAGACAACTGAACCCGGGCAAAACAAGTAAACCCCTAATGGAAAGGCATCAAATCAAACTTCGGGGGAGGTGTCTAACCCTAACACCTTTTCATGGCGTTTAGGGTTGATGGCTTATCCGATTACATTTACTGCCATGGATTTGTTGCTGCTCAACATGAGTACTATCAAGTTAATTAGGGCATGTTCCTACGGCCCCTTATCAGGGACACCTCGTATCAGCTTCGCATTTTTGCCTGGTAAAATTCGCGAAAGTTTTTGGGTTTAGGGAAATTTCAGTATGTTGTGACGCGAGCCTGATAAGAGGTTGGCCTGATAAGGGGCCGTAGGAACATGCCCTTACACCGCAATTTTACAGGAATTACACATCACCTACAATTAATCTACAAAAATCACCGAAGCAACACGCAGCTAAGTCCGCCGACCATCAACCGGCGCACTGGCTATTTTCCTCACTAGGAATCCGCAGCTGGCCCGCTGAATTAGCCCTGTACAACGGCGCACGCAACCCCGTACGCCAGTCTCCGCCTGCTCTGCGCCGATTGCCGCTCGCCCCCCGCGCACGTGCTTCCTGTGACGGACACTTCCGACTCCGCGGTCGCCAATATTCCGCGCGCCGCCGCAGCCGGGCGGGACCAGGCGCTACTTAATCTCCTCACCACACGCGGCGTTTCCCGAACTCCTCCTTCGACGAATCGCTTCGGCAGAAGCGCCGCAACAGCGGGCGCAGCTGCAAACGCAGCGGTGAATTCTCCCCGAAAATTCTCTGCCTCTGCTGCCACCGACCGGCCGCCGGTGGCGCGCGCCAGCGTATCACGTGCGGCGGCCGCCTCGGATTCAATTCTGCGGAGCCTCTCGACGCGCTCGTTGATTGCGCGCATGCGGTCGAGCGCAGCCGCGCGGATGTCCAGCGACTGCGAGAGGGATTGCTGCAGCCGCGCGCGGAGCGCGGCCATGCCGGGCGCAACTGCATCCGCAGCAGCAGCCGCAACGAGAGATGACGATTCGCCAGGGATGCATTTGGAGCGTTTCTCTTCGGCGCCGTTCTGCCGCGATGGCGCCGCACAGTCGGGAAAGACAGCCGCGTCAGTCAAGCCGGTTGTGGCGGAAGACACGTGTTCCGCCGGTGTCGTAGCACGCATGTCGACACCCATTTGCACGCGAAGGCGTTTCGCCGGACGCGCGTGGGTGATCATGGTTTCACCCGATATGCCACTAGCGACTGGGGCGAAGAGTGCAGGTGAAGCGAGAGGCACGAGGAAAGCTTGCGAGTGAAGTGGCCTGTGAGCGACAGTGGAAAAAGACATGATAATTGAGCACCTTGTGCGTGGTACCTGAGAAGGAACTGAGAGGGAACTGAAAGGGAAGGAAGTCAACGATTCTTGTTGGTGGACAAAAATGTAAGACGAAAGTGAAGGCTCCTCATGCCGTCTTTCAGTTCGCATGGCCTATATTGAAGTAGTTGGGCGAACAACACCATGCGTGGTGCGTAGGGTGCGGTTTGGTTTAGGTTGCGGTGCGGCGGTAAGGCTTTTGGTTCTGGCAGAGCTGCTGCTGGTGGCAGACTGGCGCCTACCTGTAGCGGTTTGGCAGTGTGTGTGTCGGTAGTGCTGCTGTGATTGGTGCGGGCAGGTGTCATGGCGGGATGCTTCGGCTAAAGTCAGCGGGCAGAATGTTGCAGCAGAGATCGGGGAATTTCATTGGTGCGTTACTCAAACGAGCACTTGCGGTTCGTGGCCGCATCAAGAAGAATTCAAGCCCTTCAAGCAGCGTGTGGACGAAGAGATATGTGTGGATGGTTGGGTGTGACGCAAGAAATCCCTTCCGCCATCTGGGGTTGTGGGTGAATGCTGACCAACCAAACCATACAGCCACCTGCAGCCGCCTGTGCGAAATCAAGCCCAAGGCGCCCCTCACAGTGCGGGGGAGTTTGTTTTCCGTCACGCACGTCAGGTCAGGTGTGGCGGCAAACCCTCGGAAATCAATGAAGCCGCGTCGCGTGGTGAACCCCACCTGAAGCCCCAACCGCTAGAGCTAACCGCTGTGACCAACCAGCTGAAACTGACCTGTAAAAATGCTGCGGTGCTTCTATTGGAGGGAGTTTCGGAGGGATAAGGCGTTTCCGAAAGTGTCAGGATCAGAAAGCGCAATTATGTATCTATGCACTGACAGAACGTATGGCTCACATACAGTACGAACGAATGCAAGTATACATATTCATGACATCGAAGTGGTGTCTCACTTTCGAAGCGTGTGGGTATATGTACTACTCCTTTGTTAAGGGGGAGGGAGAGGACACATTAACACCAAGAACACGCAGGAGCTAGAGCACAGCCAGATACACATGCATCAATGCGGCAGACACATGATACAGTATTCCGCACACTCACGGAACTGCTTACGTGAAGATGTTGACGTCGAATTCGGCGAACCACTGGTTGTAGAGCTGCCGCAGCACCGCCTTGAACGAGCGGTTGACGCTCACATCAAGGGGCTGCAGCAGTGGGGTGCAGCCCTCGGGGATGATATCGAGGATAACCCGGTTCCACCTCAAGTTCGCTAACACGCCATAGGTGAGGTGTCCCCGGTACGAGTCCAATACCAGAAGGGTCTTGGACCGACGGATGCCACGGGGAGGCTTAACGAACGGCAGCAGCAGCTGGTTCACCCCGTCGTCCATGAGCTTGGCATCCATCCAGCCCCGCTCCTGTGCACGGACGATGACTCCTGCCAAGCATCAACATCATTTGTTAGCAAACCGCCACGGTTAATGCATTCAACGAAGGCAATAGAAATACAAATCTCGACTGCAGGCACATGGATCTTGGGTATGGTTTTGCGCTTGAAGATAACCATAACAGGGAGCTTGCGACCATCCGCCGTGACGCTAAGCATCACCGTCACTCTCTCCTTCTCGTAGCCCGCGCTACGGACCTGCACCGTCTTCTCAACGCGGTGATGAAGGGTGTGCGAACTTGGTATCTCCAAGAAGCCAGGGTTTGGTCGGCGTTGATTATGTTCCAGGGTCAATGCCCCACTTGATGTTCTTCCTGACGAACGCCCAGAATGCCTCGCACTTCGGCTCGCACTCTGCCAAAAAAAACGACAGCATAATTTAGTGTGTAGGAGAGCTACGGTGGGTGTATTCACGGGATAACATCAATACAGGGGACGGGCGCTGGGCGGACAATTCACTCACCTTTCGCGAGCCTGTGTCCCATCTTCGTTTTGACGTGGATGGAAAGGCCCAACCGTGCACGGAAGCGGAAGGTCCACCTGGCGGAGGCCATCCATTTGACATCCGGGTAGTGGGCCTTCATGTACGTGCGGCTCCACTGCTTGATCAGACTGATGGGGACGGCTAAGCCACGGCCGCGGAAGTTTAGAAGCTTCTTGTACACTACGGCCTCCATGTCCGGATACTTTGCCTCCCCCCCCCCCCCCACCCATTGAGGCATGGACGGTGCCGCTTTTTTAATCCGCACCGCCACCTTGAGCCATCGACGGACACTGATGGGCTGCACCCCCGCCAGGCGTGCGGTGAGGCGAATAAAGAGGTTCTCTTCCTCCATCCGCGCAAGCCACTGCTGCTTCTCTCCCGTAGTACGCGCCGTGCGACGGTGTGTTGTCTTTCGAGCACGCGTACTTGATTGCGCTCCATCAGTCCGTGCTTGCGGACCATTGTCGTCGAACACCAGATCCTCGGGAAACACGGGGACCGGGAATTCCCCGACATCATCTTTGATGTCGTCATTCTCCACGCACTTTTAGTCCTCGGCGAAGGGTTCGGGAAACTGTCAAGCTATATTTGTTATAGCTTATATGTGTTAGTTTAGGTAAACATTATCTTTCATAGGGTTAGGGTTATGTTTCCCATATCTTCTTGTTTCTCCTCTCCCTTAGTCAATTCATTCTCACGTTACTTCTTTGACATGGTATAGAGCTAGTTAGTTCCTATGGGCCCACCGCCCCGTACTCGCCCGTTAGTACCCCGTTACCCGTAGCGCCCCGTCGATTTTCGCGCCCCCTCCCTAGGATCCTACTGCCCGAACGCGCCACGACTTAGTAAGGCCCCCGTGGGCCCGCAAAATCGCCCTAGAACGACCCCCGCGGGTCCTCCCCCCCTTCCCTCCCCCCCCGTCGTCGCGACCTAGGCGCGCACGTGCGCACGCACGCAAGGCTGCACGCACGCACGCTAGAAGCCCCCCCCGCGGGCCCGCTAGATCGCCTCCCCGCCCCCCGTTTTTCCCGTCGCCTCCCCGTCCCCTTTTTCGTCGCCACCCGTCCCCATTTCGCGTCGCCTCCCCGTCCGCATTTCGTGTCGCCTCCCCGTCCCCGTTTCGCGTCGCCTCCCCGTCCCCATTTCCCGTCGCCTCCCGTCACCTCCCGCCCCCCTTTCCCGTCGCCTCCCCGTCGCCAGCCCGTCCCCTCCCCGTCGCCTCCACGTCCC